AATAGAATAGAATAGAATAGAATAGAATAGAATAGAATAGAATAGAACAGAACTCTTTATTGGCCAAGTGTGATTGGACACAGAAGGAATTTGTCTTGGTGCAAAAGCTCTCAGTATACATAAAAGAAAAGTTACATTCGTCAAGAGTCAAGAATCATAAGGAACAACACTTAATGATAGTCATAGGGTACATTAAGCAATTAGGGGCGACATGCTGGCTTTCTTTTGCTACTTGAGGGACTGTCACAGAGAAGAAGAGATTGACTGATTCTCCAAAGCACCCGAGGGCAGGACAAGAAGCGATGGGTGGAAGCTCAATAAAGAGAGTTCCTACCTGGAACGAAGGAGAAATTTAAGTGAAAGCAATTAATCAATAGAACAGCTTGCCTCTCGGAGTTATGGGTGCTCCATAGCTGAAGATTTTCAAGAAAAATATATTGGACAGCGGTTTGTCTGGGATATTATAAAATCTCTGCCTTGGGCAAGGGTTTGAACTAGAATACCTCCAGGGTCCCTTCAGTGCTATGGCTCTATGATTCACTATTCCCCCCTAGTTCCCTTGGTAGGAGAAAATCCTTGTAATGATTGACTTTGCCCATATGGAACAATGAAACCATTGCCTGTTATCTTTTTTTCACATCATTCCTTTTGTCAGGATATTTGTGCACAGTCTTTGGCACCATAAATATCAAATTATTCAGGCCATCCAGGTATATTTTGTACTCTGGTATTTGTTGTTGTTTTTTTGATAGGGTTGATGTAGTCTTTCCGAATGTTACTGATTAAGGGGATAATTGTATGATGGTTTTGCAAGAGCAGAATAGCCTAGGTTTTTGTACCCATCAGTTGTTGGAGAATTCTGTATTTTAGTTTTATCAGTTAGTCATTTCACTCTAGCAAAGCATTCACATCATAATCTTACATTTTTTTGTTACATCTTAGCATAAATCTTGTTTGTAATGATTAGGATAGCACATTCTTCTTAGGTTTAGTTATTTAGTTAATCTTATTGATTTAGTTAATTTTATTATTTAGTTAATCTTATTGATTTTATGCTATTAATTCTGTATTCATATACTGTATTCATAGCTGTATGGATGCTTTATTATAGGCTACTGTATCTTATTTTGCTGATCATTGTACAGAATAAAATTTCAGGTTTTTCCTTCTCTTCATTATCATCACAATCACTCTTCATTACTTTCAATCTCATTTTCTGCATAATACGAACAGAATACGATATCTAGCCTTGCAGTGGGTGGATTGATTCCTTCCTTCCTTCCTTCCTTCCCTCCCTCCCTCCCTCCCTCATTTCTTCCATCCTCCCTCCCTCCCTTTCTCCTCCCTTCCTTCCATCCCTCTCTCCCTCCCTCATTTCTTCCACCCTCCCTCCCTTTCTCCTTCCTTCCTTCCTTCCTTCTCTCCATCCCTCCCTCCCTCATTTCGTCCACCCTCCCTTTTCTCCTTCCTTTCTTCCGTCCGTCCCTCCCTCATTTCTTCCACCTTCCCTTTCTCCTTCATTTCTTTCATCCCTCCCTCCGTCATTTCTTCCTCCCTCCCTCCCTACTTCTTTTCTTCCTCTCTTCTTCTTTTCTTCCACCCACCCTCCTTCAAATGTCTGTTTCACTGCACTGAGCAAGCCAGGTCTTCTTGATTTCTTTTGAGATGGGCAGAATCCAGGAACAAATCAAAGATATGCCACAGTATCTCTGGAGGTTTATGAGTATCTTCCCAGCCCCTTCCTGGGCTGGGCTGTAATTTTTACAGTAAGATTTCCTGAAGATAACAGTGCATTATGCAAACAGGTTTAAATCCTTCTGGCTCCAAGAGTTGCCAGTAGAAGAAGTGGGGAAGGCAGAGAGAGGGAAAGAGTCTTGGGAGGTTTTTTGTTTTTTTTCCACTGAGAGGCCAGAGAGAAATTAACTCTGAAGAAGATCGATTTCAAAAGACAGCGTATCTTCTAGGCATCCACTCTAATCTTTCCTGGCCCATCTTTAGTGGCAGACAATTTGTTCCGTACTCTCCAGCTCCCTCCTTCAAAAAGTAGCAATCACAGTTTTTTTCTTGGGGAAAAAAGTATATACTTCGAAGTCTGTAGCTACAGAGCTTAGTGAAGGTCGAGGAGAAGAAGGAGCGGTGGAAGAAGGAGAAGAAGGAAAAGAAGGAGAAGGAGGAGAAGGAGGAGGAGAAGGAAAAGGAGGGGGAGAAGAAGGAGGAGAGGAAGAGGAGGGAGAAGGAGAAGGAGAAGAAGAAGAAAGCATCAACCAACTCTAGTTTTTCTTCTAACAAGATTCTTCTGTTACGTTACACTGAAGGCTGATTTGCACATGGAGTCTGAGGTGGGAGTAAATTAATGGTGGGGAATGTGATGGGGGAAGTAATATTTGAACTACTGTAGCTTGTTGCAATCTGCTTCATGTTTATTTTCAACTTTTTTTTGCATTTCTCCCCTGCTGTTCAGTCTTTATTTGAATGAAGCAAGCAGGCTAAATAATAGGAGAGCATCTAGACAGTTTTTTTTTTCTTGTTAAACTTCTTCAGCCAGGCAGAAATACGTAATCCTCTCTAACTTGAAAACATTTGCTTTTATTTAAAAAATAATTCAGAAATATGTGTTGTGTCTTTTGCCATGTGCTTTTCAGCAAGAAGTTTGCACTGGATTTTCTTGTGAGTGCTTTGTGCGGAATTGCCATTCAAAAGATTTTAATCTAAATAGCATTGTGCAATTGGAAGACCCATCGATTGGTTGAGAATTTTTTTTTTTTAAGACCAAGTGTCTGCCAATCTTCCATAGTGAAAACCGGGTTTTCAAACGTTATTGAACATTGTTGGTTTTGCTGAATAGGTCTTACGTCGTTTCTCTTCTATTTATTTTTAGGTATTGTGCGTACTTAGATATTTGAAAAAGTGATCCATAAAAATAGGAGCCAGGATCAATATATCCTTCAAAGTCTTATTGAGATACTTGAGGCCGGTTGAGAATGATTGGTGGAATGATAGGCAGATGAGAAGGGTGCATGAGGAACATCTGAAGATGATCTTGCTGAAGATGGTAGTTGAGAAACAAACTCTGGACATTTCTGTAAATGTTAAATAACTGTTTGGTGTCTGGGTGAACTGAAGTTCCTTTTATTTCACTTTGGGCTTTTCTGCATTGGCTTCTCTTAACCATTTGACACTGTACCATGGAACACCATAGGAGAGCTTCGTATTTACAATGTTGTAATTACAATCTCCATCTCCACCCATCTCCAAAGCTTTCTGAAAACAAGACACCCACTACTGATAATTGGTGCCAGTGCCCTTTGCCTTGTGGCATTGAATCTTATGGGATTTTCCTGCTGTTTCTAGAGACCTGTTGCTTTCTCCTGGAATTCAGCCATTCTGGGAAAGAAAGAAAAAAGCCATAAACCAGGTTTTCCTCAGTTGGTAGCATTCAGTCAGTGTGATAAAGTCAGCATAAAGAAGTCAGGTGAGAGTTATGGAAGTTGTAGACCAACATATATGGACAGGATCAGGGTGTAGAAGGGTGATACTGGTTCTAATAGCTAGTTGGTTGTTCTATTATTTGGTTGTTGGTTGTTTATACTTTTGATACGTTTTTGCTGTAGATGATGGATGGATGGATGGATAGATGGATGGACGGACAGACAAATAAACAGAGGCATTGACATGTATATTTGGCCTTCATAGTTATGGGTAAATTTAGTAGACCTGTTACATAGTTTATGTGTGTTTGATAATCTAAAAGACATGCTACCAAGTAGTTGTGCATATAGTTGTTTGTTTACAATGAAATGCTTATAATTTAATATCAAGATAAGGCAATATTTTCCTCAAGCTCATAATCTAGAAAAACAGAAAGCAGAAGAAAAATCGGATAGAAAAAATATCTTTGCAACTATAGATTGTTTGAGGTGGTTACTCAGCAGGTCAAATCATTTACAAGTACTAAAAAGATCTGCTTCTTAGAAAACCTGGTTTTTCTTTTTTTGTGGCTATTATGCCAATTCTTGAGATGAAATCGAAGCAATTCAACAAATTAGTGTAAGAGGACAAGAGGAGTGATGGAAATCAGGTTTCCAAGTCAGGCTTTATCCAGTGTGTCAGTTCTCCATTTGATCTGCCTGCACATGTTTTCCTACAAAACCCAGTGAAGAACATGCTATGCAAATAGTTTCCTTATTTTAAGAAACATGGTTAAAAATCAACGTGTTGTCCAACCTGCTTTCAGAGCTAAAAGCAGACGGAACTTGGATGTGATCTTGAAGTAAACCTTAAGTAAAAATCCTATCTATGTTTGTTTTCTTCCTAGAAAAAGATCTACAAGTACAAGAAAGTGCTGAGTAATCCAAGCCGCTTAGAGGTGGTCTTGAAAGAAATCCGGACTTTGGTGGATATGGCATTAACTTCCCCTTTGCAGGATGAATCCATCCATCAAGCCCCTTTAGAAATAGTTTCCAAGTTGCTTTCAGAGGTAAGTCTTTGGCAATGAGATTTCTTCATTTCTGTTTTCCATGATCCAACTAGGATGTCCAGTGCAGCAGATTTTTAGGCAGAATCTATTATAGGGTGGTGTAATGGTTAAAACGCTGGGTTTATCGGCTGAAAGCCGGCAGCCCAGGGTTGAGATCCAAGCATCGCGCAGTGGGGTGCCTAGTTCCTGTCCACCTAACAGTCCAAAGGCATGTAAATGCGAGTAGATAAATAGGGAGGAAACAATGTGCTGTAATGTCATGCTAGCCATATGACTGTGGAATCGTCTTCGGACAGTAGTGGCTCAATGGCCTTGAAACAGAGATGAACGCCTCTCCCTATAGTATTGATAATAGATAATCAGAGTTGGAAGGGACCTTGTAGGTCATCTAGTCCAACCCCCCCTTGCCCAAGCAGGAGACCCTACACCATTTCTGACAAATGGCAGTCCAATCTGTTCTTGAAAGTCTCAAGTGATGGCGCTCCCACAATTTCTGAGGGCAACTTCTGTTCCATTGATTGATTGTTCTCTCTATCAGAAAGTTTCTCCTTATTTCCAGGTTAAATCTCTCCTTCTTCAGTTTCCATCCATTATTCCTTGTCTGGTCTACATGTGCTTTAGAAAATAGCTTGACCCCCTTCCTCTCTGTGGCAGCCCCTCAAATATTGCAAAACTGCTATCATGTCTCCCCTGGTCCTTCTCTTCACTAGGCTAGCCATGCCCAGTTCCTGCAACCGTTCATCATATGTTTTAGCCTCCAGTCCCCTAACCATCCTCGTTGCTCTTCTCTGTACTTTTTCAAGAGTCTCAACATCTTTTTTATAGTGTGGTGACCAAAACTGGATGCAGTACTCTAGGTGTGGTCTTACTAAGGCTTTATAGAGTAGTATTAGTACCTCCCTTGATCTTGATTGTATGCCTCTATTAATGCAACTTTGGATTGCATTAGCTTTTCTGGCTGCTGCTGCACACGGCTGGCTCATATTTAGCTGGTTGTCCACTAAGACTCCCACAGTTACTGCTATTGAGTCAGCAACAACTATAAACTCTTCAGAGACCCCTTTCCTTCCTATTATAGGGGTGTCCAACCTTGGCAACTGTAGGACTTGTGGACTCCCAGAATTCCCAATATTTCAGTGTAATCACTCTATCCATAAGTTAAGGACTCGCCATTTAAAAAGCTGCCGATTAAAAATCCTTCCCCATAATAAAGACATGTGAGAATCTGATTTACACCATCCTAGGCTGGTTGTCCCATCTGGTTTGATAGTTGAATCTCTTGTTTGGAACCTTTATGGTTTATTGTGAATAATTGTAGATGGGAACTCGTGAATGATGATTGTCAAGATGGGAAGTGTTTGAGTCACCATCAGCTATTGAGTTCACTGGTTTGGTGGTTCCAGGATAATTGGAAGAAATGGGAGATGTTGGGAGGGTCATCAGGGCTGCAGCATGCTCTCTTTCTCAGCACCTGGATCTTTTGAGCGATGCATGATCCGTTGGAATCATCTAGCCCAGGGGTCTGCAACCTTAAACACTCAAAGAGCCATTTCGACCCATTTCCCACAGAAAACACTGGGAGCCAATAATTTAACAACCAGTGTGACTGGGTGGGTGTGGCCAACCCAATGTCACTCACGCCCACCCAGTCACCTCCTTCTCTGGAATATGGAACGAATCTCCATCCCCCGCCATCACCCTTACCTTCTCAGGCCAGGGGAGGGGAAGGGCCAGCCAGTGGTGGGATCAGCTGACAGGGAGCCGCAGCAGAGAGCCAAAAGTGCCGCATGTGGCTCCAGAGCCACAGGTTGCTGACTCCTGATCTAGCCTAATGGGTGATTCCCCAGACTGATTGGAAATGGGCCTCCTTGTGGGAGAACAAAATAGATGATTCTTGAAACCAATGCAGATTGATTGATGGTGATGATGGTGATTGGCCATTGATTTCTTAATGTAATCTCTCATGTAATGTAATCTCAATTTTAAAAATGTAATCTTAACTCAATTTTGTAAACATAACGTTAATGTAACCTCAATTTTCAGGCGACCAATTTAACTACTCAAGAGCATGAAAATATTATTGTGGTAAGTTACAAAAACTCTTTGGGGGGGGGGGGGGTAATAATCTGTCTCCTTCCTTGAGTTTGACTTTTCTAGGGTATTCTTTCTCCCCGATTTGTCCCTGCCATTTTTTTTTTTTTGAAAACCGCAGATTTAAAGTGGTTTCATTCCAAGCTTACGCAATCAAGAAATAGCTAAGAGCAACATCTTAAGAGTTTGGGAACATTCTTTTCACTCCCCCCCACCTAAAATATTTGGAGAGAAACAACAGGGTTCCGGAAGCTGCAAGAGTTATATTTTATAGCCCATTCGTTGAGTAGCTTGTATTATTTATTTATTTACATTCAGTATTTATTTACATTCAGAGTCTAAAAGGTTTTTAGTAGAATGTAAGGATTGAAAGGGGTATACCAACTCTGGATGGCTTACAGTATTAATTCATGTTCATTGAGTTAATGACACCATCTAACCATCTCCTTAGAAGGCCAGATCCTGAAGATGAAACTCAAATACTTTGGTCACCTAATGGAAGGTCTCACTGGAGAAGAGCCTAATGCTGGGAACGATTGAGGGCAACAGAAGAAGAAGGGAATGGCAGAGAAGGAGGTGGCTAGATGGAGTCACAGAAGCAGTCGGCATGAGCTTTAATGGACTCCAGAAGATGATAGAGGACAGGAAGGTCTGGAGGAACATTGTCCATGGGGTCGCGATGGGTCGGACATGACTTCGCAACGAACAACAATAAACCATCTCATCCTCTGCCATCCTCTTCTCCTTTTGGTTGTCTCTTCAAGTCCAAGAGGAAAAGATATTCAAGCAGCTTGGTTCCCAAAGAATTGGTGCTCTGAGAAAGGATTGTCAGAAAGGATTTTGCAGAAGCTCTTCCAGTCTTTAAAAAAAAAAAAACATCTGTTTTTGCATGGAATTCTTTAGCCCCAGGACAGACTAAACCTTGAAGGACCTTCTATTCTGACAATACTTCATAATTTGCAATAGTGGCAGCATAATCACATAACCTGATTATGTGGCTGCTGTTACTCTTGGTGCCGTTACGGCATGCAACTGCATTTGGGTTGCCTAGCAATGGACTGAGAAAGGATGAAGTTAGGAATTGGAAAACAAGAGCTTTGTTGGAAAGGAAGAAGTTTCCACTTGCTTTGGAAAATAAATACCCGTGTTCCTGGATTTGTTTTTGTTAAATCAGGAAACTCTTCAAAGAGGGTTGTTAACGCCAAGGAGGAAAGATGGGTCCAAAGGATCAGAGGTGGATAAAGAGGTGATTTTCAGAATGTCTAAGTAATATGTTGCCCAGTGTTTTGGATAGGGCAGTCCAGATTCTTATTAAGAGTCCTGAAAAATCAGGGAAGAAGAAGAATTGTTTGCTCTGATGTTTAGCGATCTCTTAAATGAAATGTGATTCAGGATTCCGAAGAAGACTTTTATCTAATCTTCTGTGGTACCTTTTTGCCTTACTACAGCCCTTTTGTTCCTCTTATTGGAGATGGAAGAATAATATAGAGCCTATTTCTGATATAATGATCAGAGTATAAACGAATATGAACGCGGTTTCATTCCTTCATCTCTTTAGGCACTTGCTCCTTTGCTGGAAAACAACCACCCACCACCTGACTTGTGTGAATTCTTCTGCAAGGTATTTCTGATGTCTTTGTTTCTTTTCTTAATTTTTGCAACCGATGTCCAAACATTTCTTAGTGGCAGCTCCTTAAACAAGTTAAAATTTTGTTTGCAAGAGGGTAAGGAAGGTGGAAATACGCAGAAACTGTTATCTAGACAAAAGGGGATAAAACATTTTTTTAGTCCAGAGAAACTTGGTAGCATTCAGAAGTTGCTTAGACAGATGTTTCCCTTACTGGAGCATAAATGGAGGAGATACAATGCAGTCAGTCTAAAGATGCTGCTATTGTAGCCCCTCTCAGTAAAATTTGTTTTAGCTTTCTAAAGAGCTAAAGAGTTGATTTCTTGTCTGATCTACCTAGTGAGGCTGTCCATAACTACAGCCCTCCAAGATTGGCATAGATTATAAGCGTTGGTTGGTTGGTTGATTGGTTGGTTGGTTGGTTAGTGAGGGTGGGGTAGGGGGAGAGAGAGAGAGAGGAAGGGAGGGAGGGAGAAAAGACAGAGAGAGGCACAGAGAAAAATGAGCAAGCAAGCCAACTGTTTAGGATGAAAATTCAATTTGAGGGATGCTCCAGTATTTATTAACAACATTGTAGAATGCCTGTTTTGATATGTTTCCAATTATAACATAGGACCTTTCTATGCTATTGAAATAAATAAGTAAAAATGCTGACATCTATTAGAAATTCCCATCTAATATTGGCAATTTTGGGTTGCAAAATATTGTAATCCAGTGGACGAACCATTGATCACTATTAGATCTCACTTGCTTTTAACTGAGACGGTATCCAGGCTAATCCCTGATAGCTTCAGAAAGTAGATGAACAGGCAACATGACACATTACTTCTGTGGTCCTTACTGAGAAATACTTTTGAAACCCTTCACAAGATCTATCCAGTAGATTGGGGGAAAGAGCCCTTATAACTGATGGTTAACTTGTTAAGATTAATAGCAACGTTGGGGAAATTCATGGCAGTGGATTGTGCTTTTTCTCACCTCTTTTTAAACATAACAATCTCTTGACACAGCATTGCCGAGAACGCCCTCGATCTATGGTGGTCATAGAAGTGTTCACTCCAGTGGTACAGAGGATCCTAAAACATAACATGGTAAGTTCATCACTTTGTTGCCTTGCTTTCTGTAGAAAATCTTCACAATGCTGCTATTTTATGTGGTCTGTTATGTCCATGTATTTATGGAACAAAGAAGCAGGTACAGGGGTACCTTGGTACTCAAGTGCCTTCAAGCTCATCGAATTTGGTACTCAACGTATTTTGACACAAAAATGTTGTCCCGGCATTCATCCTTTGTTTAGTACTCAATGCATATACTAGAACTTGTTGATGTAGGCTGCCTTGTGACTCACCACATTATTCCTTATGGGGAAAATTTGTTTGGTAATCATCGTTTTTGGTACTCATTCATCCTCCCGGAACCTGTTAACGATGAGTACAGAGGTACGACGGTAGTCCTAAAATACTTAGCTTCATTCTTCAGTAGAAGCTTATCTCCATGTTTAGCTAAAAAGGGAAATCTGGGAATGTTTGTGGTTCTTTTCCCTCTTTGTCTTTTGAGAAAGATGGAAGACATGGAAAGGAATTGTGGAAAAAAACACCCCTTTTCCAAAAGCGAAACATGGAATGGTTAAGTAAATTCTCCTGCCTTTTTACCCGAAATGTTTTCTAGACACTATTTAATGGGGAGACTTATCCGTAGAACTTTCCTCATTTTGATACTGGTACAAAAAGAACAAGCAATGTATTACAGGTCGACAGGCGAGAACAGAAATGTTATTTCCTCCTTCAGGGGACACTGTGATTTATTTTCACAAGGGCAGGAAGGTCTTAGCCCTTCATCTGCTTCTTTCATCTTTCTTAATTGACTTTTATCCTTGAAGTTGAATCAAGGAGCATGATTGGACTGTAAAAGCTGCTGAAAAAGAAATTATGCACTGCACTTTTTTTTCCTTCCTAGCATTTACTTGCAACAGCAAGGTCTGTTTCTTTCGGATCAATTGAGTGATGATCCATTGGTAGCGACAGGAATTGACCAACGGGCTTGTCACCCAAGATTGAGATTGTAGGCTGAGAGAGAGAGAGAGTGATTGGCTCAAAATCACCCAGCTAGCTTTCATGCCTAAGGCAGGACTAGAACTCA